ATAGATAGATAGATAGATAGATAGATAGATAGATAGATAGATAGATACAGATAGATACATAATGGTTCAAAAAGAAGTTTTATTAAGTGTGCGGAGTTCCCCTATTGCATTATTCATGTTCCTATCAAACCAAAGGCAGGATAATTTCGTTTCGGACTCACCCAGAGTAAGTTTGTGCAGCAGGCAGCAGCTGACTTCCTGAATTGGCTCACATGCGGGGAACGCTTTCATAACCTCCACTATGATATTGTAACACCGCACATTTCCAGACATAAGAACTTCCGCATTGCTAACTAGAAACAACACAGAAAGGAAATTGAGTAAGAAAAAAACATTTATCCCATTGTTCTTTTTAAAGTCATCCTTAACCATTCTTGAAATATTTGTAAACGATGCTGCCTTTTACCGACAAGACGCATGAAGTAAGTAAAATCAACAATTAGAAATTGTTAACAGAGTGGTACACTGGTTAGTAGGCAATGACTTCAATAGGAGCCAGCAGTGTGCGGCAGCTGCCAAAAAAGCCAATATGATCCCAGGCTGCATTAACAGAAGGAGAGAATCAAGATCATGTGAAGTGTTAATACTACTTTATGATGCCTTGTTAAGACCATATTTGGAATATTCCAGAATGGAATAATATTTGGAATATTTTGGTCGCCATGATATAAAAAAGATGTTGAGAGTCTGGAAAGAGTTGCAGAGGAGAGCAACAAGGATGATTAGGGGAAGGGGTGGGATTCAAACATTTTAGCAACCCGTTTTCTACCGGGTTCCTGGGTGGGCGTGGCTTACTCAGCCTCCTGCACCATGGCTGGGGGGGGGGTATTTTTGCCCTCCCCAAGCTCTGGAAGCATTCTTCGAGCCTCCGGGAGGGCAAAAACAGCCTCACCTGGGCTCCAGAGGCAGGAAATGGGCCCGTTTCCAGACATCTGGAACTTCCGGGAGGCACATTTTTCGCCCTCCCAGAGACTCCAGCGTGGGCGCTGCACTTACCTGGCATCCAAAACTATTTAATAATTTTATTTTATTTTATTTTATTTTATTTTTTAAAACAAAACTTTATTCATTCTTAAAAACATTTAAAACATACAAGTTTCTCTTAGTCAAGAAACAAATTTACATATACAGTACACAACTTCACCTACTAACTAATTTCTATTATTATATATACATATATACAAACATACAGTGACATATTTCATTTTCTATCCATCTGACAGTGCAGTTTTTAATTATATTAATTTCTTCTAAATTTCATCTCTACCCATTTCCCCTCCTCTGATTTATCCACTGGTACCATCTATTCCATATTGTAAAATATTTTGAGTCCTCCTTGTCCTGTAATTCTAAAGTTAATTTGTCCATTTCTGCACATGTGTATATCTTTTGTATTAGCTCCTGGTCGGTTGGCAATCGATCTATTTTCCAAAGTTGTGCTACAGCTAATCTAGCTGCCGTAATTATGTGAAATATTAAATATTTTATATCATTTCTAATGTTCTTTTTAATCATGCCTAATAAAAAAATTTCGGGTTCTAATTCAATTTCGTAATCTGTTATTTCTACTATCCATGTTTTTATCTTGTTCCAATATTTCTTAATTTCTGGGCAGAGCCACCAAGCGTGGAAAAAGTTCCTTATGCTTTTTTGCATTTCCAACAGGTCGGATTTACATTTGGGTACATTTTCGCTAACCTTGCGGGGGCCAGATAGCATCGATACCACATCTTATAGTGATTTTCTTTTATTAAAATAAAATAAATAAAATGGGCCACGTGGAGACTCCTGGGAGGGGAGGGGAGGGCAGGGCCAGCCAGTCTTTGCAACTACCAGTTCGGCGAACCAGATGTAAAATTAGCATCCGATTTTCCCGAACCGGCTGAATCCCAGCCCTGGTTAGGGAGATAAAACATATGAAGAATGGTTGCAAGTCCCTTCCAATTGAATTATTCTTGCTATTCAGAAATGGTACCTGGCTAGAATTCGGAAACTATGAGTTCTGCCTTCGATAGAAAGCCAAGCTTTGGGCCAGCCACTCTCTCTCAGCCCTAGGAACAGGAAGAAATGGCCAGCAGTGCTGCAAATGTTGCCTAGAAGAATTCAACAGGCAACATTTCACCAAAAATCAGACAGGCTCAAAGGCGCAACATTCCTGCATTTATAATCCTTTGACAGCCCATCACAATGCAAGAAACAGAAGACTCGTTTGTTTTAACCTCCTAACGTTTTAAACTGTATTGTTTCATTTTACAGTCTTGCTATTTTACAGTTAAGATTTCTAAACCAAAGGGGAGGCTGATGAACAATTTTTAAAAGAGGAGTTAAAGAGTGTGAGGGAGTTTTGAATCTTGTAGTAAGTTAGTTTATTTTAGCTTATGTTTGTTTAATGCTATACCCTGTTTTTGCTCTGGGAAGGTGGGGGTGGGGAAGGGGGGGTATATTTATTTATTTATTTTATTAAATTTCTATACCGCCCTTCTCCCGAAGGACTCAGGGCGGTGAACAGCCAGAAGATAAAACACAGAGATACAAAATTTAAAATAGATTAAAACGAATTAAATAATTCGGCTGAATTTTAAAATACCCCATAATTAAACAGGGTTGAAGGTTGTGTGGGGATAAAATGGTTGTCTAATTTTCAATAAAATTAAAAGACAGATAAATGTATTAATAGAGAAGTAAGGAAAGTGGGGAAATGTCATAATAAAGGAAATGATAATATTAAGATATGGTAAATATTGGAGGAGCAAAAAGAAGACACAAAGATGTATTTAGAAGATATATTGACTGATTTATTATGTATTGTTTGTTTGTTTGTTTATACAAAAAAAAAAACTTTTTGAATTAAAAAAATTTTTAATAAGTGCATTTAGGAGGAAAGCATGCAGAAACTACACCGAAACTCTTTCAAACTTTTTAAAATATTTAGGAGGAAACTGTGTGGGTTTTTTTTTTGTTTTTTTTTTAAAGCCAAACACTGGAAGATGAAAAGAGGGGAAAAAAATATTGGCTCTTTTGGTTAATAATCCTCTCTTGCAATAGTTTGTTCCTTTCAATTAAATTGCCTGATGTGGGTGTTTGCTCAGTCAATCCCATTCAAAACTTCATTGATTCCGCCCCCCCACCCCCAAAATTCAGCATAGCATGAATTCAGTCACTGCAGACAGTAAACAATGCCTTTTTTTTTTTAAATGTGATTTTATATGCCGCCCTTCTCCGGAGACTCAGGGCGGCTTACAATGCGTTAAGCAATAGCCTTCATCCTTTTGTATATTTATACAAAGTCAGTTTATTGCCCCCAACAATCTGGGTCCTCATTTTACCTACCTTAGAAAGGATGGAAGGCTGAGTCAACCGTGAGCCTGCCGAGATTCGAACCTGCAGTAATTGCAGGCAGCTGATCTTAATAACAGGGTGCTTTAGACCACTGTACTACCAAGGCTCTTATGATAGTATTATATGTGTTTGATCCTAGGTACTCTCTGACCTTGGTTGTTTTCTTGCAGACATTTCATTACCCCACTAGGTAATACCATCAATGTTAGAAGAGAATGGGGCTTGCTTTCTATTTAGATACCAGTGGTTTGCCCTGTCAGTGTTGGTGGGAATATTCTTAGCGGTTCCTTGATTGGGCTGTTGTTTACTGCTGGATGGTTTGTTTGTGTTGGTAGTTCCTTGATTGGGGTATTGTTTCCTGTTCTGTTTTTGGTCTAGTGTTAATCTTGGTGTCAATCTCTGCTTATCTGGGGGTTGATTGCTGGCAAGGAGGGTTATAAGTGAATTAGCTACATAGATGCTTCTTTATTTAACTAACCACTGTAATCAGACCATAGTTTCACATGAAATGGGACTCTAACCTATACAGAGCATATGTGCACACATCAATGAATTAAATCCACAGAGAAGGGGGGGGGGAGAAAGGAGAGAGAGAAGAAAGAGAAGAGACAGAGAGAGAGAAGAGAGAGAAGAAGGAGAAGAGGGAGGAGAGGGAGGAGAGAAAGAAGAGACATAGAGGAGAGAGAAGAGAGAAGAGGAGAGAAAGAAGAGACATAAAGAGGAGAGAGAAAAGAGACAGAGAGAGAAGAGGGAGATGAGAGAAAGAAGAGACATAGAGAGGAGAGAGAGAGAGAGAGAGACACAGAGAGAGAAGAGAAGAGAGGAGAGAAAGAGAAGAGGGAGAGACAGAGAGAGAAGAGAGAGATGAGAGAAAGAAGAGACATAAAGGAGAGAGGAGAGAGAAAAGAGAAAGAGAAGAGAGAAGAGAGACAGAGAGAGATGAAAGAAAGAAGAGACATAGAAAGAAGAGAGAGAGAAAAGAGAGAGAGACAGAAAGAGGAAAAGAAAGAGAAAAGAGAAAGAGAAGAGAGAGAGAGACAGAGAAAGAGAAGAGAGAGATGAGAGAAAGAAGAGACATAAAGAGGAGAGAGAAGAGAGAAAAAGAGAAAGAGAAGAGAGAGAAGAGAGACAGAGAGAGAAGAGACAGAGAGAGAAGAGGGAGATGAGAGAAAGAAGAGACATAGAGAGAAGAGAGAGAGACAGAGAGAGAGAGAGAAAGAGAGAGAAAAGAGAAAGAGAAAGAGAGGATGAAAGAAGAGACATAGAGAGAAGAGAGAGAAGAGAGAGAAAGGGAGAAGAGGGAGGAGAGAGAGAGACAGAGAGAGAGAGAAAAGAGAGAGAGAGAGAGAGACAGAGGTTTGTGTTAGTGGCACTCTTGCAAATCATTTTGGAATTGCAAACACATATCGTAGTTCGTAGTACATTAAAGGCACCTCTTTCGTGAATTCATTGGTGGCCAATTATAATGCCAGCACAAGGATGATTACTGATCAACATATTCATTCACCCAGCAGCATCTTCTGATAAACTAACCCGACTTACGTGGTCCAGCCAGCACATACAACGACCGAAGGGCAAAACAGAGGACATTTTCCTTCTCGGGGAACTTTTTAAACACTTTTAATATGATCAAGTGATCGTTCTCTTCGACAAATTCGACCAGCTGCTCCTCGGGAACTGCATTGCAAGACAAAGGCATGAATGAAGTAAAGACCTTGCTTTGATAGTGGAATTAACACATTCAATACTCAGAAGGTAAAAGGAGGATACCATTTTTTCGACGTATAAGACACACCTTATTTTTGGGATTCCCAGTTTTTGGGAAGGAAAGTAAGAAAAAAGCTGATTGGTGGGTGGATCAGCCTCCAGGAATACCCCCAATTAGCTGTTCTCAGAGGTGAATTTTAGCAAGAGGTTCATTGGTTGTGAGCTCTGTGCCTTCCTTTTTTTTTCAGCCTCTGAAACTTCTGAAACTCAGTTTCAGAAAAAACTTTTTTTTTTCTGCCTCTGAAGACCTCTGAAACAGAGCTTCAGAAAAAACTTTGTTTCATGGGCTTTTTTTCTGAAGCTCTGTTTTGGAGGCTTTTTTCTGAAGCTCTGTTTGGAGGCTTTTTTTCTGAAGCTCTGTTTGGAGGCTTTTTTCTGAAGTTTCCTTTCAGATGCTTTTTTTCTGAAGCTCTGCTTGGAGGCTTTTTTTCTGAAGCTCTGTTTGGAGGCTTTTTTCTGAAGTTTCCTTTCAGAGGCTTTTTTTCTGAAGCTCTGCTTGGAGGCTTTTTTTCTGAAGCTTCATTTCTGAGGCTTTTTTCCTGAAGCTTCATTTCTGAGGCTTTTTTCAGCCTCTGAAACCTCCATTTGAGAGGCTGGGCGGGGCTACATTCGGCGTATAAGACGCAGCCAGATTTTCACTCTCTTTTCTGTGGGAAAAATGTGTGTCTTATACTCCGAAAAATACAGTAAGTCAAAGTCTCTGCCATCTATATTCTCTTTTGAACAACAGACAGATGAGGATTCGCCAGTATTGAAATAATGGGAGCCTTCTGAAATTTAAGTAGGAGAGGAGAAATATAATTCGAGATCGCTTGTATAAAGTAGTCCTCGACATACGACCACAATTCCGCCCAAAACTTCTGTTGCTGAGCGAGACAGTTGTAAAGTGAGTTTTGCCCTATTTTACGACCTTTCTTGCCACCGTCATTCAATGAATCACAGTAGTTGTTAAATTTAGTAACACGGTTGTTAAGGGAACCTGGCTTCCCCATTGACTTTGCTTGTCAGAAGGTCGCAAAAAGGGATCAAATGACCCCGGGACATCGCAACCATCATAAATAGGAGTCAGCGGCCAAGTGTCTGAATTTTGAACATGTGACACACACACACACACCCGAGGGATACTGCAATGGTCGTATGTGTGAAAAACAGTCCTAGGTATTGTGACTCAGGCCCAAGTAGGTAGTAGTCGACGCAGAGTTCCAAAACAAACAGACTTTATTAGAACAGCTGAGAATTAACTCATTCTCAGCGTAATCCAAACTAAATCGAAACAAACTCTTCATAACACAAATCCTTCAGTCTAATCACCAACCTTGGTATAATTAGGCAAACTGTCAAAGGCTTCTCTTGGCAAAAGTTCAGAAGCAGAAGACGCCGACCAGAAATAAGTGCAGCAAGACAAGAACAAGTCTATCAATGGTTGTTTTCCAACAAAGAGCCCAACAGCCGTTGCTGGTCTTTTAAGCCTTATGGGAGTGGCCAATCATCTCCTGGCCTTACTCCCCAGTCGTCCCTTTTGCTTTAGCTGCTCTTGCCTTCTGGCAGCTCTTCTCATACGTATATTAGGAACAGGCTCCTTCTGTTCCTCTGCCTCTCTACTGTCAGCTTCTGAAGGCTCCGGAGTCCACACCTCACGCCCCAAAGGCCTTGGCCCCATCTCTGCCTCCGACTCAGAGCCCTCATCCGGGCCTTCCCCAGCCTCCAGGACTGGCCCCTGTTCTTCCTCAGCCTCATCGCTGTCCGACTCCGCTGTCAGCTCCGCAAGCTGCTGGCGGACCACAACACTAGGCCCCTTTTCTTTTAGAGCCGTTGTAACTTTGAACAGCCACTAAGTGGGCTGTTGTAAGTCAAGGACTACCTGTATTGTGGCGTGCTTTAAGTATCCAAGAGCTGAAACCTGGGCACAGGTTAATATTGTCAACCATTGTCCAAAAGTGATTTCCCCCCCCCCCTTTCCATAAGGCCTAACTCAATACTTGTTGACAAGTTTACATTCTCTTTAAAACTGTGAGATTGAATACAAATTTCTCTCCACTCTGCTGTTTCTCAACCACTGTTAAGAGAACTGGACAAACGCAGAGCTGCATTAATATTAATCGTGGTATTCAGCCGGTTCGGACAAATCGGGAGTGGCAACCTGTGGGTGGGTAGGTCCACCCGCCCCAGTCCTAGTTAGCCATGTTTTCTAAGCTGCACATATACCCCGAGCATAAGCAAAGCACATGCATGGAAGGCCAGGCGCATGCACGGAAAGTACGTCCAAGAGCAAAGCTCACATTTTCGCCAGTTTTCGGTGTGCAGCGAACCGGTGGTGAAATTATATGAAACCCTCTTCTGATTAAAGTGAAATTTGAAAGACTTTGATAACTACTCCACAAAACTGTAGTGGGC